AAGAGGAACAACAATATATAAAAAGGTTCAATGTTTTCTTTGGTGAGGGCAATGCCCTCGCTTCGAAAAAAGGTTTTGCAAAGGGTGAGGGAGGTAACTAATAAAAGGGGGAAAGGGAGGGTCGAGAAGGAGTGACTTTCTAGCCTCCTTTTTCAAGTGAAAAAAAACTTTAAGATAAAAAAAAATCGCAGAATGCTTTAGAGACACACGTTTCACACTTAGATTTTGTTTTGTCTCGAAAGCAGAAACGTTTTTTTAGGTTTTCCGAGAAGACTGTTACACTCCGTTTCTTGTTGGCAAGAATGGAGTTCTGAGTCTGGACTCCCGCTCAAGCTCCAGGCTTAGACTAGAATCCTAAGCCTCGCATTCCAGGAAAGGATTTTTTACGACGTCACATCCTGCTTAGTTCCAGATCGGGCGCCAGTCGTCAGGATTGCCGTACCACTCGCGGTCCTCCGGAGAGAGAGGCGCCGACTGGGAGGTCCGCGACCTCAGCCTGGACGCGGCCTCGACCAAGTTGAATTCGGGGTCGCTCGTGTTGGCTGGAGGTTTGTCGTTGCCGCGGTCGAGGTCGTCCTCCTTGCTGTTGGCAAGGACGAGCACCCCGGCCACTTCGCGGCCCTCGAGGTCTTCGGGCAACGGGAACCGGTTGCCGTCCACGACGACCGGCACGAACTTATCCGAGTCCTTGTCGTTGACTTCCACGACGCCTGCGAAGCGCCCCTCCTTGTAGACGCTGAGCCCCGAGAGCAAGGCCTCCACCGTGTTGTTGTCCTCGTCGAGCAGACGGTGAACGCGAATGTCCACGCCGTCCTGGTGCCTCGGGGCTCTCACCTTCGTCTCTGAGAGGCGGCTTTCGGATCCGTAGACAGCGGCGAGGGCGTCGCGGGCGTTCTGATCCAGGAAGCTGGTTCCGAGGGCGTCGTCCAGGTCGATCACCTGAATCTCAGCGTTGTCCAGCACGCCGGAGTCCAGAAGCTGAGAGCGGACGTCGAACGGGAGTTCTTCCGGAAGGTCGTGGAGGATGGCCGGCTGAGCGCCGTCCAGGTTCAGGGCGGCGATGTCGTCGATGTTGTCCCCGGGGGAATACTCGATGAAGTACACCTCCACGGGCTCCTCCTGCAGGGCGAAGAGCTCGGGGTCGATGATGGGCGGGGGCGGAGGGGGGCGGGCTCGCCGTCCTCGAACACGATCTCGATGATCGGGTCGTCGTAGCCCAGCTGCGAGCTGATGTCAAGGGCGTCCAGAGCGCCGGCTATGGTCCTCGGGCTCTCGTAGGACTCGCTTGGCGTCTGGATGGGGAGCGAGGGGGCGATGGGAGCGGGCGGCAGGACGTCGATCGGCGCGGAGAGTGCGTCCCAAAGGCGGCGCCGCCTCCGAGGCCAGCCCCGATGCCGGCGCCGACCACCTCCGATGCCGGCGCCGAGGCCACCTCCGATGCCAGCGCCAGGGCCGACCCCAATGCCAGCGCCGACGCCCGAGGAGCCAGCCGGGAGGTCGTACAGAGGAGGAGGAGGAGCGGGAGCCACGGGGATGGGCTGCGAAGGCTGGAAGCCGTCGAGATAGGAGGAGGACGAGGAGCCATGCTCGCCATGGGGGGAGGGAAGGACGGAGGGGGGCCCGGTAGCTGTTGCTGGGCTCAGCATGGGGCGCGGGGGCGGGGTGGGGGACGGGATGGGGGGCCGGGGCAGGGGGACCACCGGGACTGGGGGCTGTGGATGAGGGTGGCTGGAGCAGGGGGTACGACGGGTCCGGAGTGGATGACTGGGCCGGATGTGATCAGGTCCCCGCCGTGGCCGCCGCCGACGATCGCCGGGATGGAGTGCGAGCTGTAGGTGTCGGAGGGCGGGGGCGGAGGGGCGCTGTAGGAGTCGCCGGCGTGCACCACGTCGGTGTGCTTCACGGGGCCGAAGCCGTGAGGGATGTCGTGGCCGCCTCCGTGTCCACCGCCGTGTCCACCGCCGTGTCCGCCGCCGTGTCCGCCTCCGTGTCCACCGCCGTGTCCGCCTTCGTGTCCGCCTCCGTGTCCACCGCCGAAGCCACCGCCGAAGCCACCGCCTCCTCCATGTCCGAATCCACCTCCTCCGTGACCCTTGCCGCCGCCGTGTACAAATCCACCACCGCCGTGACCTTTGCCTCCAACGAATCCACCGCCGAGACCTTTGCCTCCTACGAATCCACCGCCGCCGCCTCCGCCGTGTCCGAATCCACCACCACCACCACCGTGACCGAATCCGCCACCACCACCGTGTCCGAAACCGCCGCCGCCGCCTCCGTAAGGTGGAGGCGGAGGGCCGTACGTGGGAGTGGGCGGAGGAGGTGGCGGATGGTAGATGGGCTGAGGCTGAGGAAGAGCCACGTACACCGGTCGCGGAGGTCTCGCGGGCTCCTCCTCTCCCTTCCACAGCTTCGTGAGTCCGGAGAACCACTTGCCGATGGTTCGCTTGGTCCTCGTCGCCTCCGCCGGCTGCGATGCCGCGAGGGCCAGCGCCACCAACACCTGCAACGGAAGGGAAAACGAGCTGGTTAGAAGGGGGTATCTGAACGAGCGGCAAAGTAGTTGTTACAAGGAAAGGGAAAACGGTTTGTTCTGAAATAAGGAAAGGGAAAACGGCCTCGTTAGAAGGGGATATCTGAACGAGCGGCGAAGTAGTTACAGAAAAAGGGAAAACGGATTGTTCTGGAGGGAATATCTGAACGAACGGAAATAAGGAAAGGGATAACGGGCTGGTCAGGAGGGGATATCTGAACGAACGGTGAGTTAGTAGTCATACGAAAAGAAAGAAAGAAAGTAAAAAAAAAAAAAAAAACAGGCTAGGGAGAAGGGAACAACTAACTGAAAGACCAGTGAAGTAAATAGTTACAAAGAGAAGGGAAAACGGGCAAGGGAGAAAGGAGTAACTGAAAGAGCAGTGAAGTAGTAGTCATAAGGAAAAGGAAAAAAGGTTTCTTCTGAAGAGGATATCTGAACGAACGGAAATAAGGAGAAGGGAAAACGGGCTGGTGAGAAGAGTTTATCTGAATTAGGAGCCACAGGGAAAGGGAAACCGGGCTAGGGAGAATGGGGTATGTGAACGAGCAACGAAGGATTCGCACGAAAAAAAGGTGATGTTTGAGCGAGAGTAGAAAAATTCGAAGATACGAAACGAGAAGGAAAAAGGGGACTAATAAAAAGAGGAACATCTGGCCGAAAAGTGAAGAAGAAGAAGATAAAGAAGAATAAGAATAAGAAGAATAAGAAGAAGAGGATAAAGAAGAAGAAGAAGAAGAAGAGGATAAAGAAGAAGAAGAAGAAGAAGAGGATAAAGAATAATAATAAGAAGAAGAAAAAGAGAAAATAGAAAAAGTGAGGGTGAACTGGGAACGAAGAAAGAGAAGAGAAAAAAAGGCGAGAAATGGAGGCTGAAAAGAAGAAAGAAAAAGAGAGGCACATTGCAAGTCATTGAAGGTTGTTGTCAGTGAAAAGATTCAATGATTTCATGTTCTGTTTTAGTTAATCACTTATATGTTTTTTTGTCCCTTCTTTAACATTTTAGAAACTTCCTATGGCAGTAATTGTCTATATTTTATTAGCAAAAATATAAAAGAAAACTAAATAAAACAGTAGCACCAGGAAATGATATGTACTTACAGATATACAGACATACAGACATACACAAGCACACACAGACACCCCCCCCACACACGCACACACAGACCCCGCCCCCCCCCACACACACACGGACCCACACAGACCCCCCCCCCCACACACAGACCCCCCCCCGACACACATAACCACAACTAAACATACACATATTCATAAACATTTTTCTCTTTAGCGAGAGAGAGGGAAATGCCCACACTTCTCCCTCGCCCTCCCCTTTTTTCACACACATTCCAGAATCGAGCTGAATACAACAAAACGTACAGGAAAATAACAGAAGTTCAAAATCGAGCTGAATACAACAAAACGTACAGGAAAATAACAGAAATTCAAATAATGACGAGTGGATTCCCTTAGAAAACGAGCCACGTCCTCTGCACCCTAAGCAAATACCAGCCCTGCCAGACGTGCCCTGAAGCGGCCCTTTCGAATGATCACTCGAGGAGGCACTGAGTCATCTTGGAAAATCCGGGATGGCTCAAGTGTGGATTTCGGTATTTTTATTATTATTTTTTTTAAATTTTCTTTCTACTCTTTCGTCTCTCTATTTTTCTTTCTCTTGTTTTTTCTTTAATTTTCTTTCTACTCTTATTATTTTCTTTCGTCTCTCTTATTTCTTTCTTCTTTCTTATTTTCTTTCTCTTCTTTTTATTTCTTTCTCCTTTCTTATTTTCTTTCGTCTCTCATTTTCTTCCTCCCCTTTCTTATTTGCTTTCTCCTCTTTCTTATTTGCTTTTCTCCTCTTTCTTTTTTCTTTCTCCTTTTCTTGTGGAATTCTTTTCTCTTGGGGGAAATAGGAGGAGGAGGACGGGAGATAAGGAGAGGTGATAATGTGTTGGTGGAAGAAGAAAGAAAGAAGAGAGAGGTAGAAGAAAATGAAAAAAATAAAGTCGAGAAGGACGGACGGGGAAATGTGGACATAGCAATGATAATTATGGTACAGACAGAGACAAAAAAGAAAAAGAAAAAAAAAGAAACAAAAAGAAAAAAAAGATAAAACAACAACTAAACAACTCCCCCAAAGAAAAAGAAAAAACAAAGAAAAGAAAAACTAGATACCCCCCAAAAGGAGAGAAACAACCAGACCAGAAAAAAACAAGAAAATCGCTCTTGGGTTTAGAAGAAAAAAGAGAGAGAGAGAGACAGACAGACAGACAGAGAGAGAGAGAGAGAGAGAGAGAGAGAGAGAGAGAGAGAGAGAGAGAGAGAGAGAGAGAGAGAGAGAGAGAGAGAGAGAGAGAGAGAGAGAGAGAGAGAGAGAGAGAGAGAGAGAGAAGAGAAGAAAACAAGGGCACCAGCAGCTATTATTAGAGAGCCGCAGACAACAGCCACAGAACTGGTTGAAGGAGAAAGTCGGCCGCTGCTGCTGCTGCTGCCTGGTGACCGACCTGCCCGAGATAAGAAAATTTTGCGTCCGTCGAAAGTTGAAGTTGCAGGGCATGGTCAGATGAGGGCGTGGAGGGGTAGGGGGTAGGGGGGGGAAGTGGGGGGGTGGGGTGGGGGAAGTAGCAGGTGGCTTGCAGGACGGGGAGGAGTGTAGGGGAGGGGAAGTGGGGGGTGGGGAGTTGCAGGTGGCTTGCAGGACGGGGGGGGGGGGTTGTAAGGAGGGTGGTGTAGGAAGGGGAGGGAGAGAAGGGAGGGGGTGAGGAAGTTACGGGAGGGTGTGGTGTACAGAGGGAGGGGGAGGAAGTTGCAGGAGGGGGGGGTGTTGCAAAGGAGGCGTGGCTTAGAGAGAGAGAGGGAGTTGCACGTGGGTATAGAAGAATTAGGAATGCAAGGAGGAAGAAGAGGAGAATATTGCAAGAAAAGCGTGGTGCAGGGCGGGGACAGATCAAGTTGCAGGACATTGAAGAAGGAGGAACGAATAAACTGCAAATAAGAATAGAAGAAGGGATGTTGCAGAAGAGAGGAGATGAAGGGAGGAAGGAGGAGGGGCAAGAAGGTGTGGTGGAGGGAGTGGCATGTGGAGGGAGTGTGTAGGAGTAGGAGTGGCGGGTGGGGGGTGGCGGGGGGGGGGGTTAAGAGCACGTGTACCATTGCCGCGAGCGAAGATTGGTCAGGAAAGGAATGTTATTGAAGGGAAACGAGGAAAAAAATATATATTAAAAAAACAGAAGAAAATAACGCTAATGATGATTATAAACGTCACAGTAGTGATAAAAGCGGAAGAAGAAAGTAAGAGAGAAAGAAAAGAGAGGGAGAGAGAGAAAAAGGAGAAAAGTAGGAAAAAAGCAAAGATAAAAGAAACGTCGAGGGGATACAGGCATAACGAAACTTTTAAAACGTTTAAAAATTAGAGAGAAAGTAAACATGAAAATAAACACGAAAGATAGTAATCAGAGAGTATTTAAAAAATCACAAAAGAGGAAAACGAGACACGAATTTCTGGCGGGAAAAAAACATAATACATTCTTAAAGTGAAACAAAACAAAACAAAACAAAACAAAGAACCAACCATAGACACGAAATGAAAATAAAGCCAAGAAGAAAATTAACGACCACCCCCCCCATCTCCCCCCCCCCCAAAAAAAAAGAGAAAAGTTAATAGCGAGGAAAAGTAAACCAGAAAACCCGAGCAGTTTTTTTTTATTTCGTTTTTTTACCCCGCCATTCTGAGAAAGGCATCAGTACCCGGATGGTCACTTTCTTCGCGGGTTTTTCGAAAGGTCAGACGGAATACATTAAGCTGCCTATGGCGGGGTGGGGGTGGGGTGGGGGGGGGGGGGAATTCGGTAAGGAAGGAAAGTGGGGTGGTGGGGTGATAGGGGAAAAGGGGTTGAGATTGGTAGGGAAGTAGAGAAAGGGGGTGAGATTGGTGGGAATGGGGTGATTGGTAGTGGAAGGGGGGATTTGGAAGGGGAAAGGGGTGAGCTTGGTAGGGGAATGGGGTGAGATTAGTAGGGGAAGGTGGGGGAAGGGTGAGTTTGTAGTAGAGGTAGAGGAAGGTGAGATTGGTAGGGGAATGGGGTGAGATTGGTAGGGAAAAGGGGGTGAGATTGGTAGCGGAAGGGGTGAGATTGGTAGGGAAGCGTAGGGGAGTTAGGTAAGAAAGAGGTAGGGAAACGAGGCGAATCGAGTATGGGAAAATATGTAGTACTTTGATAGGGGAAGGGGGTGATTTTGGTAGGGGGAAGGTGGGGGATTACGTAGGGAGGGTGGAGGAGGTGGAACTTAGTGAGGGGGAGGGAAGGGGGTACACAGGAGGGGTAGGGGTTAGAGACTTAGGTAAGGGGGAGGGTGAGAGAGGCTTAGGTAGGGGGGAAGGGGGGGTGAGGGAATTTCGTAGAGGGGGGGGAGGGAAGGGGAAGGGGAAATGGGCGCGTTAGGGTGGGTGAAAAAAAGTGTTCCACTCAGATGCTTTTAAATCCTGATTCACTTTCTCTCTTATTTTTTTCCGCATTCCACTACGGAATGTTCCTCTCCCTCTCGGCCCTTTCGCTGTCTCTCTTCCTCTCTTTCGCTCTCGTTTTTTGCTCTCTCTCTCTCTCTCTTTTGTTCCGCTCTTCCTCTTTTTCATTCTTCCTCTTCTACGTCTCTTTCACTCTTGCTCTCTCTTTCTACTCCTCTTCACTCTTTGCTCTCTTTCTATCTATGTATCTATCTTTATCTCTCTCTCTCTCTCTCTCTTGTTTTCTCTCTCTCTATCTATCTTCATCTCTTTCACCCTCTCTCTTCCTCTCTTTCACTCTTGCCTCTCTCCCTCTTCTCTCTCTCTCTCTCTCTCTCTCTCTCTCTCTCTCTCTCTCTCTCTCTCTCTCTCTCTCTCTCTCTCTCTCTCTCTCTCTCTCTCTCATGCCGCTTTCTCTCTCGCCATGAAAGGTTTCTCAGCAAGTATGTATGCTGCCCATGTGCTTGGT